CCACGACCGGCCCTTGCCGGCCGTCCGCGACTTCTCTCGAGCAATTCAACATCAAATGACATAAACTAACTTGACATGATCATAGATACTGAATTTACTTAAAAACATAAATTTTGCACGAAAAGCTGAACACGGCCGTGGCGTGCGCACCGTGCGCCACCGACGGCGTTAAGCCATTTCACGACCAAACTTGACCTTTTCTCGGCAATTAATACTCAACTGAACATGACACATAATTTACTGAACAAAATAACATGAAATGCTTGAGGGACTATACTTAACATACTCGCTACACATGTAAGACCCGTGGTGCGCGCTACAAGCGCGACCACGCCCTTTGGCCGAATCATCGAACAAACATGAAAATACTTCGAATAATATAGGCTGACTGAACATGATAAATCATGAAATGACTAAATACATGACAAAAACTCGATAGATTACACACCAAAACATGAACACGCTCGCTATATACTTGCACAGCCGAACGGCTTAAAGCCGTGTCATGAGCATGAATAAATCAAAACTAACATCCCTTTAGCATGAATAATCCAAGGTAAATGAAATTACCTTTCGAACACTCGGCTGGGCACACTAATTGCTCGGCTTAACCAGAGCTTCCTTGCGCGGGCGGACGATTACTCCGTGCGGTACTCTCGCGTGCGTGTGTGTGTATACTCTTAAGAAATCCTCACAACTCTCCTAATACCCTCTTTACTTAACACATATATGAGATGAGAAAAAGAAAAATTTTCCCTCATTCATACAATATATAGGGCGGCCAAGAAAAAGAGGGAGATGATGAGAAGCCTTGGTGGTTTAAGGAGATCATGCCACTTGCCTTAATAAGAAATCACCTAAATGCTAACTCACCCTCAAACATGCTTAGTCACAACTAATGGCTCCATAAGAGGGCACCTCATGCTTGCTTAGGAATTAATTCTCCCTTTTTAAATTGCTTACGGCAATTAATGGAAAAGTTTGCACAATTTTAAAAAAAAAATTGCTACGGCTTTTAATTCTATTTGCTTGATTAATTCTAAATTAATCATGATTAAATGCTTAATTATTTAATTAAGCGTAATACTTAATTACCAAAATTATTCCGAACGTAAACGGGACGTCGAAAATAATTTCGGGTAATCTCGACTGAAAATAATTAATTCCGAGAAATAATACTCGACAATATTACTATATCGGAACTAACTACATGATTTATATTATTAATCTGATAGGATATTACAATCCTCCGTCCTTAAAAAATTTCTGTCCTCGGAAATTCAAAACATAACTGAATATACATGAAATATGTACATGAAACATGAAAATATGTACATCAAAACTGAATCTGGAAAACAAGCGCGAATGTCAGCCTCCGCCTCCCAAGTAGCTCCGTGGCGATCCCACTGAATACGAACGAGGGGAACATCTCGCTTCCGGAGCCGATGAACCTGACGGTCCAGTACAGCTACCGGTCGCTCCTCGTACGATAAATCTGGCTGAACCTGAATATCTGAATAAGGAATGACATGATCGGGGTCGCACACGTACTTACGCAACATAGATGCGTGAAAGACATTATGAATGCCGGATAGCTCGGGAGGTAAGGCTAATTGATACGCAACTTCGCCTACTCGCTCGAGCACCTCGAACGGGCCAATGATTCGAGGGTGCAG